TTTATTTTTATTTATTACATTTATTTATTGTGTGTGTGTGTGTGTGTGGCCAGCTCAGCCCACCAGGGGGCGGGGCTGGCTGGCCTGTGGTGCTGGGGGATCGAACCGCGGTCCGTATGCTTTGCCAAGCTTGTTTCAAGTAGGTGCTTTAGACCACTGAGCCATCTCTCCAGCCCAACACTTCGGTTCTTGAGTATGCTGTCATTTAACCCCTAGTTTGGCTGGGCCTGGTAATACATCCATCACCGTAGCACTCAGGAGGCTGAGGCAGCAGGATTACTGTGAGTTCAGAGCCAGTCTGGGGTACTTAGTAATAAGTTCAAGGTCTTCCTGAGCTACATAGTGAGGCCCTGCCTCCAAAAGAAAAAAAAGTTTGTACTATATAGTGAATACTCAGTGATTTTTTTTAACTACTATTAATAAGGAAAAACTGAAAAATTATATTTGAATAATTCATGAACTACTGTCTGCTACTTAGAATTTGGGGTTAAAGTATACTTAACTCACGTTCTTACAACCGTTTAAGGTTGGCAGGATGAAAGATTACACGTAAGTAATGCAGACATTCTCCTGAAAGGCTAAATCCATACTGTGGTGGATTATAAATTTGATATGAGAGGCCAGGGAGATGGCTCAGTGGAATAAGCTTTTTCCTGGCAAGCACAAGGGGCCTGTTCAATCCCTGGTTCTGAAAAAAAAAAAAAAATCTGATTATGAAATGAATCCCATTGAACGTGTAAACCCACCAAGGCATGGAGGGTTGTGAGTGGTAATCACCGCTCAGGAATTTTCCCCTCGGGAGGCTTGGCTATCCCATCCCAGGCCAATTTCTTGGAGAAAGCAGTTAACCTGTGTTCTTGGAGATGATTTATGGAGCTTTCTGTCATAAGGCGGACCTGGTCGGAGGGAGTTCTCTTGATTCTTTGTAACTGGCATAGATTTCCCTGAAACCTGGCATTTTTTATTTGCTGAGGCTGCGCTGTTCCCCCTGAGATGGGCAACCTGCTCCTCTGGGCAGGAGGGAGCCATGCAGGCATGTGGTTAGGGTTCTCTCCGGAAACTAGTTCCTGCAACCGACATGCACCCCTGAGAAAATTGTTTTGTCCATTTTGTTTTATTTTCTTTAAATTCAAAGTAGTTAATTCTCCGCAAATGACTATAATTGAAAGCTACCTTTAGGCCTGTGTTCAGCAGATTGGCCACCGAGAGCTTCACTGCGGTTGAGGTCAGCCGTGACGGAAGCCGACCATCCTAGCAGCGTACTGTGCCTCTTCTGCATTTGGTTTTTATTTTTAATGCACATATCAGCCACTTTCTGATTGCTGGCAAAGTACCCACAACTGCAATGTAAAGGAGGGTTTGCGTATGGTTCCGGGCCCTTGCCAGCTCCTGTGAGCCCCTGGGTCTAACCCTCAACACCACACGCACTGTATAAGGCTTTGCTCCTCACAGGCAGAGCTGGGGTTCGGTGTGCGTGCGCAGCCCTGTCCCACGCTTTGTGTCGCGGAACGTGGAGGCTTAGCATATGTTTTCATGCTGCGAAATACTCTGTGAAAACTGACTATTATTAAGTGTGTATATTTATTTTGGTAGCTGGGATTGAACTCAGGACTTTGCACTTGCCAGACAGGCACTTAAGCCATTGAGCTATCTCCCCACCCCCCATTAAAACTTTATTTTAAAGAAAAAATACAAAATAATATGATAGGATGGTAACGATGGTTAGTATGTTGCATATTGTTATCTTTAAAGTAGTTACTTAAGGGCCGGGGAGATGGCTCAGTGGAGATGGCTCAGTGGAATAAGTGCTTCCCTGGCAAGCACAGGTCCTGAGTTCAATCCCCGGTTCCACCAAAAAAAAAAGTAGTTACTTAAGAGTACAAGATACCAGCATTCAGTTATCAAACAATATTAGCACTAACGGATTTTTTTTTTTTTTTTTTGTGGAACCAGGGATTGAACTCAGGCCCTTGTGCTTGCCAGGCAAGCGCTTATTCTACTGAGCCATCTCCCCGGCCCCACAAACCTATCTTTTCGATGAACTAAGAGAAATTAGTAGTATAACTGTCCTATTATTTATGTATTTTGGTACCGGGATCAAACTCAGGACCTTGCACGTGCCAGGTAGGTGAGCTGAGCCATGTCCCTGACCTGTCCTATCACATACATTTTTGCTTTTGCTTTTCCCCTGCCCCAGTTTCTCTTTCCTTTTGAACAGTCTTTGCCATGTTAAAATATCTGCTGTGCATTTGGGAGTGTGTTTACTCTTAGGCTAGGGAGACAATACGGTGTTTAGCATGTTTGCATCTTGTGATAACCAACTGTCTGCATGTCCTATGTGCGTGGGTGAAGCGCGTGTTCCACTGTGTAAGTCAGCCTTTCCGTGGCTGGTGGTTCTTCCTTTACCTGTTACATCCTCCGCGTATACAGAAGGCATCTGTCCACACGCTGCCCGTTTTCCTTCGGGTAAATTGCCGTTCCCTCTCCTCGCGGCCAGCCTCTAGGTGTGCGTGCTGCGTGCTGTCTGCCACGTGCCGCAGAACTCTACTTGAACTGCTCACTCTCAGTTCTCGCTCAGCTGTCTGGTAAGGGCCCCAAGGAACAGAGGTTGGATCATTTGCATTTGTCCAAGAAAACTCATTCATAAGTGGTGTACAGTTTTAATGGGGAAGCTGGCTCCCAGTTTGTACCCCATCTTCTTTTTGTCCTTTTGAGACAGGGTCTCACTGTGCAATTGAGACTGGTCTTGAGCTCACTTTGTATCCCAGGCTTGTCTCCCAACTCAGCGATCCTCCTGCCTCAGCCTCCCGAATGCTGAGACTACAGGGATGCACCACCACGCCTGGCTACTCCATCTTCTTTTTTTTTCAACTTTTTTTATTTTTATTTTATTTTTTTGGCAGAACCGGGGATTGAACTCAGGCCCTTACGCTTGCCAGGGAAGTGCTTATTCTACTGAGCCATCTCCCTGGCCCTACCCCATCTTCTTGATAGGTGGCTATGACCATTTTTAAATGTTTCTAATATTCATTGCCAGTTTCTTTTAGAAAGAACATTCTCAAGTTGTATTTGAATGTTTGGTTACATTAATTAAAAAAATTAAAAAACAGACATAGTGGTTTGGCTGAGAGATGGGAAGACCACAAATGCGAGGCCAAGCTGGACAGCTCGGCTAGGTTTTGGCTCAAAGTCAAAAGAGGACTGGGGTTATAGCTCAGTCGTCAAATGTTTGTTTAGTATGTACAAGGCCTGGGTTGGTTCCTGCTGTCATGGGTGCATGCCACACACAGAATGATAAAGCAAAGCGGTCATCAAAGGTTGTGTTGGTGCGGGTGCTACGTGCCACGCAGAAGAGTCACAGGGAGGTGCTGCTCCTCTTTCTGCCTACCCTGTTCCTGTACAGCCACGCAGCAGAGGTGGGGATGCCCTGGCCTATCCAGCGTGTGCCTTGGGAGAGCCTGCAGTGTTGCACAGTGCGCACGTAAATTT